TGTATGTGTACGTGTGTATATGTTTCATTGTTTTTGTATATTTTTGTAGCTCTAGTGCAACAAACTCAAACTTAATACTCGTAAATACTAAGGCTAAGGATTCAAATACATCAAATGAGTGTGGGAGTGTATAAAAAGTCTCTAGCAATAAATGCAGAATATTTCAGGCGGAAGTTGAGAGTAGTATACAAAAACAACAAAAAAAAATATAAACACACTAAGAGGAAGTGGAATAAAACAAAAAACGAAGAGAACAAAAAACAAGTTAAAAAGTAAGCCACCTACTGTGTAAAGCAGCATGCATTTAATCTTGTACAGAATACAATCATGCATGCATGTTTTGTTACGTATTACTACTACATACAAGTACTCCCACACACACATACACATACATGAATATCCTTACTACACACTTCCTGCTAGGGCTTGGATAGATGTTGTTGCATACATTGTGGTGCATGTTGTTGTTTCTTATTTTTTTTTCTCATTTTTATGTTGTATTGCGTACAACAGTACAACAAATAAAGATAGAAATAAGAAGAAAATAACAACACACACAGTAAAACGGAAGTCAGTACTCCCATATCCGGTTTTAATCTTATATGTTAAATTATTGAAAGAAAGTCTGTTTAAAAACAAATACTTATACATTCGTATGCAGTCAGTGGTAGAGTTTTAAGTAACTTCCATTCGGGCTGAAGAAAGAAAAAACAAAATAAAAATAATTTTAAATGCATGTAAGCAAGAAAAAACGGTGAAAAATCTTTGTAAATCAGAGAGAAAAAAATAAGTTAATTTATGATAGTATAAGGAAAGGCATTTTTTAAGAAACAAGAAGAAGAAGGAATAAAGGATATATATTTTTAATAAGTAATTAAAGAAACGAATTTGTAAAAATTGAGTTACTTTTAAATTTTAAAGATTCTAAAAGTTTTAGTCAGAAGGGCTAATAAAAATTTTATTTTTTAAATGAAAACCTTTAGTTAACGTATACTCGAAGGATATTTTATACAAAATTTAAGTTTAAATTTATCAAAACTTTCCGGTAAATTCATTGATTTCCTTATAGAAGAAAAGCAACCTAAATAGAAGAAAAAAAAACAGTAAATCTCCTTTCACTTAAAACTAGGCTAACTGCCAAATAACTCGTAACTTTTCAAATAATGTTGCTGCTACTACTCTTTACAACCAACACGTACAATTGTTAAACTCAGATGTTAATGTCGTTGACCATAATACAACACACCACGCCACACCATGCCGCAGCATGCAGTAGCAGCAACAGCATTAAATACACAGCCAGCCTGCAAACACCATTATGAAATAGATAGAAGAAGCGGAAAAACGGCATCAACAACAACAAAAAAAGCAATAAAATTACTAAAATGAACAAGCATTAGAAATGAGAAAATCAAGTCAAGGATAACGGTGATGATGGAGCACAGCTGGCAAGGAAATCATGACTGCTACATATTAATTGGCGAGGCAGAAGAAGAAAGCATTTATTGTGCAAAAAATCCAACAAAAAAAAGGAGAAACAAATAAATAAGAAAATGTGTTTAGAGTAATAAACAGTAGCTGGCCAATGAGTATAAGCAAGATGAGCCTTATTGGTTACACAGTCTATAACATTTGAAAGGTAGTAAAACTGATAACACAACACAAAACCTTTATATATACTTTTAAAAGCATATTGTTTTGTGACCACAATATAACTTTATAACGAGACCAAGAGCGAAAGTGCACATCTCTAAAGTCATATAAAAATTTCTGAAAGACAAAGAAGTTTTCAAGCAGCGTTAATGTGTTGGCAACATATTGCGACTTAACGAGATAAATGTCAGTTACTAGGATCTTTTTTTTTCCTTTCTTGACTAGACTTTAAGATGAGGGCTATAGAAAGTTTTTTTGTTGTTATTATTTAAGTTGGTAACACATTGAGGGACATACTATACAATTTTAGGAGATTCTTGGACAAGTGTGTGTATGATTGTTTTTGAAGTAATTTTGAAGTAGTAAATGTGTCTTCTAATTAAGTTAATAGAATTTATATTGCGATGAAGTTTAGAAATATAGATTTTTCTAAAGTATAATAAAATAAATATCAATATGCATAAGATAAAAAAGTCATCTTAAATAATTCCTTTTAAAATATTAAAAAATTTCAGTCAGAAACTAATTCATAAAATAAGTAAGAATTTATAGTCGGGCATGGCCGACCATATTATACCCTACATCAATGATTATGGTAAAAATGTTGATTATTTTTTTTAAATAATTAAGTTTTTAACCTTAATTCAGAAATATTTTAACAATTTTCTGACAAAAAAGGGTTTTCCAAAAGAGGGGTTATATGGGGGTTAATATAAGACTTATATATATAAAAGTAAGTTTTGCTGATTTTTGAAGTGATACAAGAACATTTAACATATTCATGAGCTTAGAGGCCCTAGTCGGGAGGGCTATACGAAGTAATGGACCAATTTCAACCATTTTATTCTACGTCCTTGGGTAAAAAGAAGAGAATATGCCAAATTTCATCAAATTATCATGAAAATTGCGACCTGTAGAGTGCGCACTAAGTTTACATGGACACACAGACGGACATAGAAAAATTGACTCAAAAATTGATTCTGAGCCGATTGGTATACTTTAAGGTGGGTGTAAAACATCAGACCAAACGCATAATACCCCTCCCACTATAGTGGTGTAGGGTATAAATAGAAACCGATATAATTATTAAATGGATATTTTGAATTATATTTCGATATTGATATTTAATACCGATAAAAGTGATTTAAGGCGATTTCCGAAAAATGTTATTTTGCAAATGTAGAGTTTCTATACAAGTCAGATATAGCTTCTATAAGCTATATCTGACTTAGTTATTATCAAAACAAATACTTGTAATTTGATCAGAACGTTTAATATGTGGATAGACGGATATCGAAGAATTGTCAAAAAACATCGTTTAGAATAATTTTGATATGAATCAGTTACTTTGAATATTTTGGGTTGGACACTTTTTGAATTCATTCTTAATGTAAGGGAATTTCATTTAATTATTTAACTTGACATTTCAACCTGTAGTTAAATTATAATAAATAGACGGTTGGACGGAAGTCATAAATTGACCAGAAACGTCGGCAAATATGTAACAGACTGGAATGTGTGAGGTTTGGTTTAATTTAAGAAGCTCAAAACTTCTTTTTCTATATAAATATTTCATTGAAATGGTCAAAGTTGAATTGCATATTATACTCTTAATATCTTTTTAAAAGAGAGTCATATGTATGTAGTTATGAGTAGTCATTTTATAAAGTATATCTTGATTGCTTCAGTTTAGGAATAATATTTACAACAAGTACTCTAAAAATGCCAAAGTCAAAATTTTTTAAAATTTTTTTTCTTCCTAAAATTAAACTATTTTAGAATTTTTGTTGTAAAGAGATATTTGTTTTGGAAAACTTCTTTGAAACGCCCCAGCAGTTCGGTCGAATAGTCCTGAAATACGTATTTAGCCTACCACTTAGTGTTTCCCCTAGCCACCAACTGTCCAAGTGACTAGCTTATCATACGAGGAAGTCAATCGTCATCACATAGAATACGAACAGACAAAAAGCTTAAGTTTGTCTTTAAGTGTCCATTCTTTAGCTTACAAAGGGGACACTAAAGTGACGAGTATCTTCACCCTCGTTTACAAAGAGTACATCCGTGACGTAAAACGAATTAGAGTCAATCAGATGGCTAGACGTTAGTGGAAATCGCTCTTTGTCGAACTGCTGGGTAGTTCCAATTATTATCGAGAATATTCCCAGAAACTTCTTCTTTCATTTACATATGTAAACAAAACTGTGGCATACTTTAAGGCATTTAAAAACTTTTTTCTTTTTCAAGAGTCAAATATTAAAGTGCTTTCTCACTTAATGTCTTTTTAAATGAGAATCATAGTTACATAGTTCTGTGCTGGTTACGCATTATTTTTGTTTCTATTAAAAAATAGCAAAAATTAGATTTTATTCAATTTTTACAAATATTCATAAATTTGTATTTTAGTTCCAAGGATTACACAGAAATCATTAATTAGAAAAGTGATTTCGAAGACGCTAAAACATTGGCCTTGTACTGCAATAAAATACAACAGACTTAAATATGTATGTGAATATGTTATTTTCAAAAAATATTTATATATTTTTTAATACACGTGTAACTATGTCCATTAGTCACAGAATCGATTCCAGACTGGTTCAAGTATCTTTAGTTAGTTTCTTACTAATTTTATTGTTCTTATAAAATATGACAAATATTAAATTATAATTATTTTCAAGAATATTCCCAGAATCCTTTTGTTTTTATACAATATGTACATCAAAAAGTTGCATACTTTCAGGTAGTTAATAAGTTGTTTATTTTTTATGTGTGCTAGTTTTGTTTTTCTTTAAAACGGATTATAAATAACTAATCTCAATATGTTTTTAAAAATATACCTAGAATTTGCTTACTTTAAGAACAGAATTCATTCACTTTTGGTACTTATTTAAGTGTATTTAACTAGAAACTAATTGAGCTCCTCTTCTTTGAGGATACATTGGAAACTCAAGAAATTAGCTATAATCTGGCAAATGAAAGTAGATTTACATTCAATTTGACCTCTTGACACTTGTGACTTTATGCTATCATATGACTATAAAATTTACTAACTACAACTTTTCAACAAAAGTAATCAAAAAAAAATTAATATCTCCTACAAAATACAAACACAAAATATACATATTTTTGCCAAACTGAAGCATAAACGCATTTACATCACCTTAAGCTTTTGTATACAAAATATTATTAAATTTCATATTGGCAACTTTATTACTAGAGAAAATAGCTTATGATAATATAAACTTATGACACACACAACACAGTACTACTAACACTCACTAGTAGTTGGAGTACTAAAAATATGAGGTAATAACCAGATGTAATAAAAAGAAAATATGAAACACACTTACATTCTTAAACCAGGAATAAGAGGTGACGGGTGGCCTGGCATCGGCACGACATTTGAATGTAACATTTTGACCTTCGGCTCTAGTAACAATGCGGCTGGGATCTTCATTGGCCAAATGCACTGACACAGTGGGGGGATCTAAAAAGGAAAAAATAACAAAAAATAAGAAATGTAATTTAAAAAATATTATTTTGCATTTTTTTTTTGTATAATTTTAATATTCTAAATACTTAAAAAATAAAGAATACTTGCGTATAAATAAAAAAGCAAAAAGTAAGTAAATGAATAAATTGGGTAATTGGAAGGCGAGTTTAATGAGCGTTTGCAAATTGAATCATAAAATGCTAAATAATAAATTGAAATGACTAAAAAGAAGGTGCTGGGCTCTTAACAATACAAAATGAACAGAAATGAAAAAATAACAAATAAACTAAAATAAAAACGAAAAAGAAAACAATTCCACAAACATACAAGCTTAAATCGTAACATTTTTCGAAGGTCCTTTAAAGCTTGTAGAATACAAAAAAATAAAACGTCAAATCATATCTTGTGTCTGTCTGTTATGGTAAATGAAATTGAAAGTGTGTTAGTAAGAGAGCAGGAGAGCCGGTTAGCCTGAGTATTAGTTAAATTACATTATTTTGTTGGGCATAAAAGTGTGTGTGTGTGTGTGTAAATGTGTTTGTATATATTGGTAGTTGTACAATGAGTATTCATCCATTCTAAGCCATTAGTTACGGTTGTGTACGCATTCATCCGTTCCATTTTCATTCTTTGAATGCTGTTTCTGTTTAATTTTGTTCTCATTTTTTTTTGTTCAGCATAAAATACAATTTCAATTGCTAACGCACACACGAATATTTGTTATATAGCTAGGACTCTCTTTCTCACCCATACCAATACTCATTCATTATGCGGCTTTAAGGAAGAAAAAAATACACTACATTTATACATACATATATATTGAAGCGAAATATTGTTTAAGAAAACTGCTGACGTTTGTTGTGAATTATTAAAACATTTTTTGTTTGCTGTTGTTGCCGTCTTGTTAGAAGTTCGTTTTTTTGGCCAAATAGCAACAAAAACTGAAACTCTAGTTTGCTACAAAAAAAATTCAGACAATTAACATGTGGTCAACTTCGACCACAGGAAATACTTTATTTTTTCACAGCAACTGAAGGAATTTAAGATTTATTTTATTTACTGTAAAAATTACGTATTTAAAAAAAACTATTTTTTAAAAATTTTATCATGTTTTGGAAAATTGAAACAAATTCTTAAATGAAATAGACTACACAAGGGGCTTGACAAACATATCAATATTTTACGTTTGTGCAAGCCTGTTGTGTAGTGTTTGAGGGTGTTTCGTGTTTGTACAAATGCTTGCGGTATGTTTGTACAAAAATGTAAAAATTTTGATTTTTACACAAACATATTGAATTTTTGTCAAACCGTTTGTATGGTTTATATTCATTAATAACAATTTTTTTTAAAAATTACCATTTATAAGAAAAATTAACATCTATATCTGTGCTTGTACGAGCAATGTTTGTGTAGTACGTGTTTGAATGAAAAAAGTATGTTTGTCAAACCGCTTGTGAAGTCTATTTGGGCCTTAAGATTTAGAAACCCAGTCAATAAAATACTCGAAAAGGAAAATTAAGATCAATTTCCGTCAATTTCTAAAATTATGATTTTTATGTAAAATAAAATATTTTTGTGTAAAATTACGATTTTTTTGTAAAATTACGAGTTTTATGTAAAATTCAGTTTTTTTTACAATTTTTGTGTAAAATTTCAGTTTTTGTGTAAAATTACATTTTTGTGTAAAATAAAGACTTTTGCAATATTACGAGTTTTATGAAAAATTACGAGTTTTATGAAAAATTACAGTTTTTGTGTAAAATTACATTTTTGTGTAAAATTGCACTTTTGTGTAAAATTTAATTTTTGTGTAAAAATACATTTTTGTTTAAAATTACGATTTTTGTGTAAAATTACGTTTTTTTGTAATATTACGAGTTTTATGTAAAATTCAGTTTTTTTACCATTTTTGTATAAAATTACAGTTTTTGTGTAAAATTACATTTTTGTGTAAAATTTAATTTTTGTGTAAAATAAAGACTTTTGCAATATTTCGAATTTTATGAAAAATTACATTTTTGTGTAAAATTTAATTTTTGTGTAAAATTAAATTTTTGTGTAAAATTAAGATTTTTTTTTGTAAAATGACGAGTTTTATGTAAAATTCAGTTTTTTTACAATTTTTGTGTAATATTACATTTTTGTGTAAAATTACATTTTTGTGTAATATTACATTTTTGTGTAAAATTATATTTTTGTGTAAAATTATATTTTTGTATAAAATTGCATTTTTGTGTAAAATTACATTTTTGTGTAAAATTACATTTTGTTTAAAATTAAATTTTTATGTAAAATTACATTTTTGTGTAAAATTAAATTTTTGTGTAAAGTTACATTTTTGTGTAAAATTACATTTTTGCAATATTACGATTATTGCCAAATTACGTAAAATTAAGATTTTTGTGCAGTCAAGACTTTTGTGTAAAATTTAAATTTTTATTAAAAAAATGGTTTTTGTGTAAAATTAAGACTTTTACGTAAAATCAAGGTTTTATGTATATAAATCATTATTATTGTACTGATTATATTTGTTTTTATAAAATAAAAATTTCAAATTAAGTTTTTTGTATTACATTAAGCTTTTTGTAAAAAATCAAAAACTACCCTAATAAAGTTTTCTTTAACAAAAAGGTCATATCACCTAATTTATTATATGAATATGTAGTTCTCTCTTTGCCCTTTATTTAATGTAGGGTGTAATTAGAAAAAAGGAAAACTGTGCTAAGGAAAAGCTACATAAAACGAAGAAATATGTACAATTAGTTCGTATATTGTATGTGGGTAATACAATTATGACCAAAATACTAAAACCGAAAAAGGAGAATTTTGAATATTCTATAGCAAAAGAAGTGTTTAAATACACGCACGTATAAACCGAAACTAAAATGTTTGAAATCAGTAGAGAGAATAGAAAATGGTTAGCTGTTGGTCCATAGAGTATTTAAAGACAATTTGAAGATGAAAAAAAAAACTTAGAATGTCTGCCAACCAACGAAGAAAAACGAAATTGAGACACCACTCAAATATTTAATAGACTAGAACTAAATAAATGTCAATGAGAATGACGACTACGATGATGATGATGGTGATGACGAAAATGAGGATGTGAATAAGAATGCGTTTGAAAATCTATGTTTGTAAATATAACTATATTTTGCCCACTACAACAAAAACTTAGCAGCGTCATCATCATCATCAACGAGAACTTGTCGTCATTATTGTCATTGTACTCATCATCATGCACTATACACAGTTCACTCAATGAAAATAAAATAAGAAAGATATTTTTGTGAAAACGCTGAAACACGCACAATTCTTCTTTTGAATTCTCAATACAAATAGACAAACAAAACAAAAACGATAGCATAATAATGATGATAATAAAAGCAAATAGGAAATTGTTGTATTTTCCATAAATTACACAGTAATTACTAAAGTATCTCTTCTAGTAACCATGAATGACTAACATTTCTCTCTACAACAATTGTATTTCGATTGTTGTAACTAAGCAATCGTTAGGAATGCCATAAGGAAATTTATTTCAAATTGAACTTCAACTCAACGGTTAAAACGGCATGAACTCATAGTGGAAACTGTCATTGATACATATTTAGAGTACAAAGGCAAAATAATTTCAATTGAAATGTACAATGAATTGTGAGCGCTTGGGTAGAGATTACAAAGACAAATTATTATTAAGCCCTGAAATATAGTAAATATACTAAATATAGTATACTGAGATATCCACAGAAATAAGACTTTGATTGAAATGGAATAACTTTGTTTGGTGGTGACTAGGTTGAAATGAAAGTAAATATGTTTATTATAATAAGAAATGAAAATATATGTATATTTATAAAGAGAAGAACTTAAATTGAGCATGTCTAAATGCAATAAAAGTTTTATAATATTTTATTATATATAGCGCCTAAAAATAGTCCATAAAAATTAATGACGAGAAAGTGATACAATTAAACCATGAAATATGCTAAGTTTAATTTTATTAGATATTTATTTACAAAGCCTAAAATTATACTATTAAATTAGGCATTAAAATAAACTTATTAGTAGTTTTAAGGAAATATATTAAGCTATTTTTTGTAATTGTATTTTACAAGCCTAATATTATGCTATAAAATTATCATTTTATTCAACACTTTCGTAAAAAGTTTTAAAGGGAGAAGTTTATGAGGAACATTTACAAAAAAACTATTGTTTAACAATTCAGCTTTAAGAAAAATCAAGATTTTTGTGTTCAATCGAAATTTCCTTCATCAATATTCTACTACACTACTCAGCTCCCCTCAAAAGAAACCAATTAAACTCACTATTCAAGTTCATTTATTGTCATTTTATTGGCACAATATCCAAACAATAATTTTTCTAGCCAAATTGACACTAAATATAATAGCACAAGTATTTTATTGATTGTTTAAGGACATTGTCCATACATTTGGAATTCTTTCACTTAACAAAATTATTGCAATTCTCTTTTAAGCCAATCAATATTGAAAAATTGTTTTTTTGCTGATACAACAATAATTTATGAATATATATATATAAATAGACAAACCAAATTACACACTGACACACACAAGGACTCATAAAGTAGGCAACCTGCCACAAAACGTAGCAAAATGGTCATATTCCAAAAAAAAAGTAGAAAAAAAGAACCTGTGCAAAAGATACAACAATTTCAATATAAAACTTACATGCTACACGTATGATACGTTTATCTTCAATGGCGCCACCAGAAAACCATGGATTAGATGCACGACATGTGAGCTCAGCATTATCATTCTCCGAAGTTACCTTTAATGTTAAAGTGCTGGTTGTGATATTTGAGTCCTGCAAAGAAAAAGGAAACAAATAAAAATGTTTCTATAGTAGTTTCTGTGTACGTATGTGTATTCTTTAAGCAAGTAAGATTTATGATTATGTGTTACAAAATTATTTGACTTTTCGCCATAAACATGTAGAAATAACAAGAAAACTTTAACGAAAACTAATAGTATTTGCCAAAATTGTTGCTGAGTTAAGGATACGTTCACATACATAAATATTATACTTAAAGCTCGTAAAACAAATTTTTTTTTTTTTTGGTTGTGTGCGAAAAATAAATAAGGATACAAAAATAAAATATTTTATAACTAAAATATAAAACAAATATTTATGTTAATTACCTCACGATCACTGTGTACAGTAACTTCGGCATTACGTATGGGTTCACCATCTAAAAGCCAAGTTATTTTGGCCGCTGGATAAGAACCCCAAGATTCACAGCGTAAAGGCACGGGATGACCGGCTGTAAGCAGGTCATTTGGTGTTATAATTTTCACTCGAACAGGTTTTACTATAAAAAATAAACAAATATTAAAAATTTTATTATAAATACACAGAGGGAAAAAGAAATATACACGCCTGGTACCAAATTGACACCAAACGGTTTATAATTTTTCAATAACATCCCTTGTCAAAGTATATACATACGTACCTACTACAATACTGTGTAATGTTGACAACATTGCAACAATTCGTTGTCGAAATCTTAATTTTATACACATCCGTTGTCTAAAAGTTAACAAACTTGATAAGCTTACTATTGACAAACAATCCATTACCAATAGTGAGCTTACCACGTTTGTTAACATTAAGACAACGAATATATATATAAAATTTAGATTTCGACAACGAATTGTTGTAATGTTAACAACGTTGCGTTGCCAACATTACCTAGTGTTGTCGTACGTATGTATATACTTTGGCAACGGATGTTATTGAAAAATTATAAACTTTTTGGTGTCAATTTGGTACCAGGCGTGTATATTTCCTTTTCCCTATGTATATAATTTCCTTTTTACTCACATTGTACTTGCACCGGCACTTCCTTTATAACGGGCTCTATCAGTTTTGTGCCTTGGGCACGACACTGTATCTTGGCCCCATTATAATCACGCGTTGTTGTACCTATTAACAGTTGATTAACTATAACCGTGGTACCCTCCTCCACCGATGTATGACTTGTGCCAATTAATTCAGTATCACCCATCCACCAGGTAACTTTTGGTGGTGGTCGTCCTAGAAATGTGTAAAAAATATATTTATATAAATAAATGTATGTGAAATATTATAATAAATAAAAGTAGTTCAACAAATAAATCATCACAAAAACAACCCAAAAATAATAATAAATAAAATAGCAACAACATCAAATCGAGTATAAAGGAAAAAAATAAAATTTACATAATTTTCACTATAACGTCCTATAAATCACATTTTGTTATTTTTATATACATTGTCATTCATTTAATTTATGTAAACATACATATTATACATACATGTATGTATATTTCTACATATTTGCGTATATGTGGAATGTTATAAATATAAATTTCGATAATATTTATTTATATTTTATGTATGTATGAATCATATAGAAATTATAGTATATCGACAACCAAAACAACTATTAATAAGAATAATAATAAAAAAATGTATATTATTTCAATGAGTTTGGTAAAATCGTTTGTTAAGTGTTGTCAGGAAGCAATAATAAGGGACTTAAAGTCATGGAAATCGAAATATTAACTGTAATACTTTCATGTTTACATAATATTAAGCTACATTCACACCTATTAAATATCTGACTAAAATGACGTGACCCCTAAAAAATTGACATTTTGATTTTTTCCAAAGTAATCAGTTTTGAAATGGTTTATTATTTGTATCGACATTATTTGTAATCACAAAAATCATATCAAATCAAAAATATACAAGAGTGTTATATTCAGCTGTGCCGAATCTTATATACCCACCATCATGCTTTACCTATTTATCAGATATCCATATGTTAAATTTTGTTGTTGTGTATCGGTAGTAATATGCACTAAATTGTTTCAAAGTTTTATTGAGAGGTGTTACATAGGGGATATCTTATATGAAGAGTAGGGTCAATTATGGGCCTATCCTTATAAAATCAAGTAGGAAAATCTTTGTTTCTATAAAACTACCCTGCGGCGAGGGAAACTGACACGAAACATGTCAGGCGCTAGTGCTAAAGTAATACGGACCGGTTCTAGTTCTGACACATAATATGGAGGGAACCTGTCACTTTAATATGGCGATGTTGTACATTTTGTAATAGTATATCACGGGGCAGGTACTTTTGGATCTATTGATACAAATTTCCCGCATGGTAGTTCTTGTAGAATTTCATTGCAATACTGTTACTTTTTTGCTAATTATGAGCTCTAAAGTCAATTTTGGAAGGGGACCGTATATCAATCAATTAATATCGATTCATATAAAATTTAGTAGGTAGATTTTAGTTCCCATAAAACTTGTTCATATCGAGTTTCATAGCCTATATTGGTATTATTAAGCCAGTTATGACCAATGAAGTAATTTTTTGAAGGGGGACTTATAGGGTAGGGTCAATTATGAACCGATCCTCATAAAATGTTGTAGAGCGACTTTGGATCATAAAAAACTTTTTGATGTCGGATTATCGCTATACTCGTTTTTAAGCCATAATGAGTGTTAAAGTCAATATCTGAAGGGGACCTTATATGGGGGATAGGATCAAATATGGTCCGATCCTCATCAAATTAAGTAGAAAGATTTATGTTCCTATAAAACTTGCTTCCTTCGAATTTCATTGCAATACTGGTACTTTTAGACTTTAGATGTTGTACATTTTGTAATAGTATATCACGGGGCAGGTACTTTTGGATCTATTGATACAAATTTCCCGCATGGTAGTTCTTGTAGAATTTCATTGCAATACTGTTACTTTTTTGCTAATTATGAGCTCTAAAGTCAATTTTGGAAGGGGACCGTATATCAATCAATTAATATCGATTCATATAAAATTTAGTAGGTAGATTTTAGTTCCCATAAAACTTGTTCATATCGAGTTTCATAGCCTATATTGGTATTATTAAGCCAGTTATGACCAATGAAGTAATTTTTTGAAGGGGGACTTATAGGGTAGGGTCAATTATGAACCGATCCTCATAAAATGTTGTAGAGCGACTTTGGATCATAAAAAACTTTTTGATGTCGGATTATCGCTATACTCGTTTTTAAGCCATAATGAGTGTTAAAGTCAATATCTGAAGGGGACCTTATATGGGGGATAGGATCAAATATGGTCCGATCCTCATCAAATTAAGTAGAAAGATTTATGTTCCTATAAAACTTGCTTCCTTCGAATTTCATTGCAATACTGGTACTTTTAGACTAATTGTGATCGTTAAAGTCATTTTCATTCTATTATAAGGGAATGTCAGCCATACTTTACAGAATAGTTTCTGGGTACTTAAAACTAACATGTGTGAAATTTCATTATATTTACTGACAAATTAACATTTTTACGACGTTTTAAACAATATTCCGGGGGGTCACTTATATGGGGGCTATGTGAAGGCGTGTACCGATATTGCCCATTTTCAATACCAAACATTTCTGATAAATGTAGAATATTTTGGAAAAATTAATTCTTCCTAGGTCCATTCCTCTGGGCTCTATCGTGCCTTCAACAGACGGACGAATAGACAGACGGCCATGTCTAGATCAATATACTCCCCATCTTTTTTGATGGTGGGTATAAACATAAAATATATAGTGGTTACGTTTTCTTCATCAAATATTTGATAGTTGTGAACGAACCTTTGTTTTCGATATAATACTTTGAACGATGTGAGAATTTTAATGTAATTTTTAAGAAATATGAAAGCGTTCTAAAAATGTTTATCTTACTGTGTAGTATAGTAATGTCATCTATACTATATAAATCCCAAAATGAAATAATTGACTCCTTTCTAGGACATCACCATATTAAGAAGACTTTCCGCTTTTTATCAAAATAGGCTGAGAAGGTCTCTAGAAAACATTTTTATTATTAATAATATTGGTACTACATCCAACTTTAAGGTATGCAAATCGTCTTAAAATCATTTTCTGAGTCGATTTAGCTATGCCCATCCTCCCGTCTATCCGTTCGTCAATGTAAACTTTGTAATCAAACTACAGGTCACAATTTCAAAGATAGTTTAATAAAATTTGATACGTGATCTTCTATTGTCCCAGGGGCAAAGACTATTGAAAATAGTTAACATCGGTCTATTATTTCACCTAGTCCCCATACAGCTGAACCATTGAATAGGACTCTAAATCTTGTAATCAAACTACAGGTCGCAATTTAGAAGATAATGCAATGAAATTTGGTACATGATCATCTATTGTCCCAGGGCCTATTAAAAATGGTTAAGATCGTTCCATTATTTCACCTAGCCCCCATACAACTGAACCTCCCTATTAGAACTTTTCAGCTCATAATTATGTTTAATATAGTCGTATCTCGACAAAAAGCGGTACAACTAAGTTTTATCGTCGATGACCCTGCCGAATTTTTTTCCAGATCCGATATAAAGCCTATTGCAGAAAATTTCTGGTATAGTATCACTCAATAGAAAACATTTTAAATAGATTGTACACATATACCATTTTTTCATGGAAAATTCAACATAAACGTTGAAATCGAGTCCTTTTATTAAAACTCTGTATAGTAAGTTTTATATAATAAGCACTCACATCCTTTTAAAATGACTCAAAAACTTTCATTATTTATTAAAAAAATCGTTAACAAAATATATACTTTTATTTTGAAATTTATTTAGAATTTAAGAATTCTTTATGAGCCTTAAATGGGGGGTAACATTTAAGGCTCATAAAGAATTCTTACATTAATCTTAAACTACATAACAATAAAAGTATACAAAAAATATTCCCATATACTATAATCCAAACCATATACTTTCTATACCATCAATATCATCTCAACATTGCAACTACTTAAGTTAACAAGCAAATTATAACAATTTAAATAAAGAGAAAGAATGACACTAGTAAAAAAAATACCAAGGCAAAAATATTGTATATTCATATTTACTAAATTTATAAGAATATCATCAATCTTAATCAATAGATTAATTTTATTCTATAAAAAATACATTTATTTTCAAGTGTATGACGTTAAAAATGTTAAAAAAAAACTAAATATTGTATACAATGACAGTTTTACTCTCCAACATAGTTAGTGGTGTTAGTTGGTGTAGCAGAGTGTGTATTATAGAATATGTACAAGGATACAATAAGACTACAACATTGTTATCTGTCTTATCGCGATGTATTCTATAATTCTTTGGCTTATTTGACAAAACATTGTTTAGCCATGACCATGACAATATTTTTCTGTAGTCGTTGTTGAAGTTTTTTTTATTTTTCTTTTTTTTTCCTTTGTGATTTGTTATACATATTTTGCACTGTCATCATCACTTTGAATGCGAGAGTTGTGAGAGAAGTTTGTAATAAAAACAGTATAAAGAGAAGGATCAAAGTATTTGGGTACCAATCGGTGAATATTAGTCACCTTTATTTAGAACAAAATATGTTTTTTAATGAAAATAAATAATTTTGATAAATTTTCTAGAAATAATGATTTAGCTTTCATTGTTTTGCTATAATATGAAAAATAGAAATAACCTTAATTCGGAACAATATGGTATATGGTACAAAAAGTATTACAAAATTTAAAAAAAAAAAAAAAAACTTCTAAAACTACCCTTGTATAGAACATCTGTATACAAAATCCCTGATCCTTGCTCTTTTTTATACATCATACATACATATATGCAAACAACCATATTTTATTTTTAAAAAAGAAATACTGACAGTTTTATATTTAAAATTTTTGTGCGTATTTTATATATAAAATATTCCAATTCTTTATTTTTAAAAAGTGAAAGTGTATTTGCGCTTTTTTTCCAGCAATAATTTTTCATTTAAAAATATGAGAAAGTGGGTGTAATTTTTTTTTACCCGAGCATAATAAAGTATGTGAAAATGTTATCATGTCATAACAAATGTATGATGTTTAACACATGTATGGGGTAAATACAAATACTCAATCCTTCACGCATATAAATACAAAAAAGTATTCATTTGTATGAGAGTAATCGCATATTCATATGAATTCCCGCTTAAAGGTGGGTAGCATGAAAAGTTCTCTCAACCTTTTAGGTTTATATGGTTTTATTCCCATTTTAGTTTTAAAATGTAGTAGCTAGTTTGTCCGTATTCTTGCCGAAATCACTGCTAAGCTAAGAGCTGAGATTTTTTATAAATGATCAAATTCGATTTTCAACAAAGTACAATATGATTTGGTCGCCTAACAACTGATAGACGAGCTTTTCTTACTTTTTCAAAAAAAAAAAAACTTTTTAACCCTGCATCTATTTACGGTGCAGAATGTTATGTACATATAAAATCCTACACATGGAATATTCATTACATTTTCATTGTGCTACTTTAAGCATTTGTAGATGTAGTATGCAACCATCAGTCAAAACAGCGTACGTTTACAGTCAAAGAACATGTGTTTTAATAGTTTATGCGTATTTGGCAGCATAACACAACATACCCAGATCCAACCAATATCTAACACACTCTAATATAATGAAATACAAATAACCCTTTCACATCATTACATGATGTAAGTGTAAATGTAAGTGTCTGTTTGGTGTATTTATTCATACTTTACACACATGCCCCCAACAACATCATACACACATCAATCTTATTTATTCACGTTTGTAATATGTATGAATGTATGTATGACTATTAATGTGTGAGTTGTTATAAGTAGGAAAACCCGGCAGTTAGATATACTTTGTATTTCTTAAGACAGAGAACAGAAAAAATAATGAACTACCTTCTCTCTTGATTACTTGGGTACACTAAAGTGACACATGTTCGTACTCTCAATTAACACAAAACTTCGAATCTATCAAACCGTTAAGCCTTTAAGAAAAATAAAAATCTATAAGGGATACATTAACTGATACTTAAACTGCTGCCTAGTAAACACTTTGTTAAAATACAATGACACTTACATAGAAATTATCACATATACAGTGTATTTATTTGAAAATGTTTGCGTTATAGTTCACATTTTAGATCCTTTATGCCATGTTGGCGTTATTTTGTTGATATCCTTTATATACATACATATTTCCCTTTTTTGGGAAAACATCTACGCAAAAATTTATGTTACTTTTGTCTCATTCGTCTGGTTTTATTAATATCGTTTGCAGTATTTTTCATTTATTTATTTTCATCTCCTTATTTTTCATAAAATTGTTTTTATTTCTACTGTTGATGACAACAATTTTACGCTGTTATAAAACGTACCTATTAATATCACCATCACAAAGTTTTTCCTGAGAATTTTATGGCATGTTACATATTTGTCATGTATATATGTATGTGTGTGGTTTCGACTTGGCCAAATGAATTTATGTAAAATAAATAAATTTTCAAGAGAACTTTTTAATTGTGAAACCGCTTATAATGAACATTTCATTTGAATTTGTAGTTCTTAAGAAAAATCTAGTTTTATATGAATTGTTCTTTAAAGAACCACTGAATCAAAATATATTGATACTTTGGAAAATATATATTAATTGAAAAGTATAGGTTTGGATCAGTGTTGCCAGGAGCTTCGGGGAAAAAAGGCTAAAGTGGACTTTAAAAAAGGCCAGAAAAAGCTAAGACGCTTAAAAAATAAGGCTAGAAAAAGGCTACCAAAAGATACCAATTCTCATAGAATTTTTCGCTATCTGTGTTTGGTTGGCTATCGTGGTAGTTCACAAAGCGTACGCAGATAAGTAGAGTCGAAAAGATTCTGACCAAGGTTGGCTATGAAGTAATTGACATGAAATCTGTTTCGCTGTTAAGAGTAGGGCATTCTTCCCTTTTTCCTATATTTGCAATTTCAACTGTAATCATTGAGTGTCCAGTTATTACTGCCAGCAACCACGCCCCTCGGGGCATGTTTGCTTGATGAAAAACTCCATCTTGGTGTATTGCAATTCCGGGGTATAGAGGTGCTACCAATGCCTGTAGTCTGCCTGGACTATAAACTAGTGATGATCAAATGTATTCTCGGCCTCTCCTTGGAATGATTTGACATGGGGTCTAACCAGAGTACCATATAATCTGGCACTACGGGTGGCTGGTTGCCCACAGGACCTAGTCCTGACTAGTCAATTGATTGAGGTTCCTTCGGGATCCACGTAGTGGCTGTGGTTTATACCCAAATTCGCAGGGGAGATAATGTTGGTTTAAAGACTGATATATTCAAATGCCAAACATGTCTGGATTCTCTCTCCGGTACTGTTGCCATTTCAACAGATGTCACTGGGTGATGGATTTCTGAACCCGTTGGGTATATCTTACTCTTCACTTAGTAGGGTGCCAGTATATGTTGGGGAATTTTCAGATTGACACTTGGTAGTCAAGACAGGTGTTCACGTTAAGCACTTGTCATTCGTGCCAGCAACCTCGATACATCCGGCATATTTCGGGTTATAAATCGACTAGTGCGTTTTTCATTGAAAGAATACCATATAAATTTGGTCCCTCTACATGTGTCTAGATTATTCCATATATTTTTAGCCTTTTGAAGAAAAGGATACTAATTTAAATAAAATTTTACGGAGTTGTTACTGAAACAGCGTTAGAGATATGCGGAGGAGATCCCGTTCTGGCTAGGGTTGGCAGATCATTAATGAAAGTAGAGCCGCTTGGCTATCGAAAATTTCAAATATTCATATATATTCCAATCAATACTCTTTCTATAAAGTGTGCATGGACAGTAGAGGGCTCAAAATAATCGATTTTCATTAGATTGGTCTTAACTTAACTTTTAAGGTTTCAAATCTCAAAATTTTTCAAATTTTGTTTATAGTAAACTGTTAAAAGTATAATAAAATTTGCAAATTTTAGCCTTATTAAGGCTAAATAAGAAAACGGAAAAAAGGCTAGACTATAGTATATACTACAGTCTTATCTATATTATGGAATAATGTAGACTATAGTCTGTACTATGCTGATTGGAATGACTACAGTGTTACCTATAATATTGCCTATAGACTATAGTCTTGAATATAGTTTAGACCATTGTAGACTACTGTAGTATAGACAAGAGTCTTAACTATAGTATATAAATATTCTTGACTATAAATATTCTTAACTAGTTATAGCCATGCACGTAGTATAGACTATAGATCTGACTACAGAATTGACTATAGCATAAACTATAGTATTGACTGCAGTATAGACTATAGTTTTGACTATAGTATGCTATAATACAGTAATGAAATTATCTGTATTATAGCATTGTCTGTTGTATATTCTACTTATAGTCTTTATCATATAGAATATATTTGACTATAGTGTATAATATAGCCCTGTTTTAACACTACAAAGCAAGATATACATACATATGTACTATATGTCATTTAATCTATATACTGCTTAAATACAAAGCCAAAATCTTTTCACATAAAAACTTTCTTCAATATATCCTATTAAAGATTTTTATTAATATAGACAGCATTAAGAAATCATCAAAAGTAGCAATTAATATTTAGCCAAATGCTACTTAAACTAATTTAAAATATCATAACATAATTCCCAACTACTAGACTATAAAATTTCTTTACTCAACAATTGTCCAAGAAATAAAAATCAAAAATTTACGACAATATTTTGTAGTTCATTAATCTTACATATAATTTCACTTAATAATGACAACCAAACACAAGTCTTTAGTTTCAGCATAAAAAGAACATAAAAATAATTAAAAAAACAAAATAAAACATTAAAATCACAAAAACAAATGAAAAAAACAACTTACCGCCTTTAACTTGACAGCATAAAAACAGTTCATAGCCTTCACGAAATGGGCCGGCAGTCTGTGTCTGGTTAATTTCTTTGCCTTGAGCATCAAATATACGAGGCTCTTCGGGAGGAACTATAAAAACAAACAAAATAAATTGTTTATATACTTATATATTAATAATAAACAATATTTAATAACTTAAAGCATGAAAATGAGCAAGAAAAAAAGTAAAGGAAAGAAACAAAATAAATAACAAATATTGAAGTATATTTGTTACAGGATATAAAAAAGTGTATCCTTGAGATAAACAACAAAAGTAAACAAATAAAAACAAACATGATTTGGGCATGAAATTCTAAGAAGTATGTATGAATGTATGAGAGAGTGTTAAGCAAGGACACTGTTAATAAGTAAATGTGCGTGGCTGAGTATTTTAAGGGCATGTATGTTTGTGTGTGACAGTATTGTTTGTTCCTTTTGTTTTTCTTCTGCTGCTGCTAACTTGTTTGTATTTTGTCATGTGCGTAATCACAATTTTACTCTTTTCACGTACTTTTAAACACGCTATACAGTTTTTCTATCTTCTAGAGAAAACTTGCAATAGGAAAAACTTTTTTAAAATAATAAAACAAAGTTTGATTTTATCAAAATATGTAGGTAAAACATGGTTTGTTTAAGACCAGAAACAAAACGCCACAACTTTTCTTAATTTTTTTTTTTATTTGTACTAATATTGTTGTTGGTCGCAGTTTAAGTTCGTGGTGTTTGCGTTGGGATAGCAACAAATAATATATAAAAACGGAAACTAAAAACGTGATATAAAGTGTCTTTTTCTAATTTTCTTATGTTTACGCTTAAAGTAGTAACCAAAAAAAAAAAAAACAGTCAACAAAGACACCTTATCCTACTTATGGTTATACAAGGATATGTATTTAAGTTATTTTAAACACACGCATAAAGGGTGTTATAAAAAAGATAAATTTACATGCTGTAAAACATAACTAAAATAATTTACATTAATTTTCTCAAGGACATTTTTGCCAATACTAAAAATATTGTTGACTTGTTTCAGTCTGCAAAATAACACATTCTTTTTGAATCCCCTTCATCACGTGCATTTTGTTTCTTTTTATTACAGGTTTCACCGTATGCTCACAAGTTTAAAATTAGATAGAAGAATGTGTATGATATATGTGCTTTATTTTTAAGTTTATATGTTATTAAAATAAAATGTATCAACTTACCGACTAAAGTTAAATTTATCCTATAATTACGAGTTGGAAAATTAAAAAAATCTACTCTACAACGATAAACACCACCATCGGTTGGCTTGACATCTCGTATTTGTAGACGTGAATCCTTGGGATTATCGCCAATCGAAAAGAACAAACGTTGACCCAAATCGCTAGCTATAGCAGAATGTGGCGCTAATTTGACATTTCCTCCACGTGAATCCAAACTAAAATGAGAAAGAGCAGAAAGGAAAGGTTATATTAAAAAATATTAATTATAAAAGGTATGCCAAATAACAAAGTTTTATAATAAATCTTAACTGAAGTAGAAAGGACAAAAGCTTTTTTAACACCAATTTTTAAGTACATACATTTACTTTTTAAATTGTATACACTTTACATACAATAAATATGCATGTATTTCAAGTGACACACATACATACATATAGTTAAACATTTTGGTGTTTTCATATGCGTGTTTTTAACAATAAATTACTGCAATTTGTTTTGGTTGTTGCTGCTGGCCTCTTATTTTGTTGCAGTTGTTTGTATTGTAGTGTATTGTTACTGCTATTTGATGAACGTTTTTAATTTTAATTTGTTTCGTTTTTTCTTGCTAGATTTTGCTTTTTTAGATCAAATTAATGTTTATGTCGTGTTTTCTTGTAGTTTGTTATTATCCCGTCTATAAAAAACGAAAAGGTTTAAAAAATTTCTGTAAAAGTGACCAACAAGTTTACATCACAAAATACACCAAAGGGAAAAATTATAGTTCAGTTCTAGTTCAGTTCTAGTTCAGTTCTAGTTCAGTTCTAGTTCAGTTCTAGTTCAGGTCTAGTTCAGTTCTAGTTCAGTTCTAGTTCAGTTCTAGTTCAGTTCTAGTTCAGTTCTAGTTCAGTTCTAGTTCAGTTTTTAGTTCAGTTCTAGTTCAGTTCTAGTTCAGGTTCTAGTTCAGTTCTAGTTCAGTTCTTGTTCAGTTCTAGTTCAGTTCTAGTTCAGTTCTAGTTCAGTTCTAGTTCAGTTCTAGTTCAGTTCTAGTTCAGTTCTAGTTCAGTTCTAGTTCAGTTCTAGTTCAGTTCTAGTTCAGTTCTAGTCAGTTGTAGTTCAGTTCTAGTTCAGTTCTAGTTCAGTTCTAGTTCAGTTCTAGTTCAGTTCTAGTTCAGTTCTAGTTCAGTTCTAGTTCATTCTAGTTCAGTTCTAGTTCAGTTCTAGTTCAGTTCTAGTTCAGTTCTAGTTCAGTTCTAGTTCAGTTCTAGTTCAGTTCTAGTTCAGTTCTAGTTCAGTTCTAGTTCAGTTCTAGTTCAGTTCTAGTTCAGTTCTAGTTCAGTTCTAGTTCAGTTCTAGTTCAGTTCTAGTTCAGTTCTAGTTCAGTTCTAGTTCAGTTCTAGTTCAGTTCTAGTTCAGTTCTAGTTCAGTTCTAGTTCAGTTCTAGTTCAGTTCTAGTTCAGTTCTAGTTCAGTTCTAGTTCAGTTGAAAATGTTGTGGTAGCCTTACCAAAATTAAAACTTATTAAATATTTTCAAGTGTGCTTTATTTTCGCCTCTTTCTGTTTGTCAAAATTTTTCTACCTATCAACCTAAATGTGGAAGCAAAAAAGGTAAATTGAACATATTTGAAGAGCTGTAGTTTACGTTTTTTGAAAGCTCCAATTACGTTTATATAAAATACCATCATTAGCATTTTTGTTTTACTTTAGAAAAGTGGCAATTTTCAACTTTGAGCAAATTAAAAGTTTTTATAAAGGACGAAAAAAAGAGAGTACATTATTGACATAAAATAAACAAAAAGTAATTTTTCTAATACTTTAATTTGTAATTAAAAAAGCATAAACTGAAGGAATTTAGCAAATTCTATTTTACATATTACTTATAATTCACTTTTAGTTTTAATTTATATAAAACTTACACTTCGTCTTCCATGACAGTTTTACTACCTCTTCTGTGAATAATGTTTACAAATTATTTTTTCTATTTCCATATAATTTACCATGCCATAATTTCAGAGCAAAAAATAATTCTACACTTTTTTGTATTATATTTTATTTCCTTTATGTATTTATATATTAATTGTTTTTTATTTATTGCTTTTGCTTTATTCGTTTTTTTTTTTTTTTTTGTTTTTTTCAAATCCTGTTTGTTTTCACTTCAAATCAAGCGAATGTATAAATAATGACTTTAAATCCTAATAGCCGGTAATTAAAGTACATAAATGTAAAACCTTTCACATTTTTAATAATTTTTATGACCAGCGAGAAACATGCAACATAGTTCTAGAAACATTAAACTAAAGTTGCAAATTTGAATATAGTAAAGAATTTATAAATGTTTGTATTATACGAAATAATTTGCATTTAAAACACTGTTACAAAAAGGGTGACGTAGAAGTAAGCAGCAGTAAACTATGAAAGCTAATATGTGAATTAGTCCCGCAATATAAAATTGGTAAACGGGAACTGATCTAGAACTGAACTGAAACTGAACTAGAACTAAACTTTCTGAAATATTAAAATAGTTGGGTGAAAAAGTTTAAGAATAACACATACATACATACATACATACATACATACATACATACATACATACATCACGCTTACCTTAAAGCATGCAATATTTTTTGTAAGTAATGCAATTTGAACTTAGTAACATTTCAAAATTGTTCTTTCAAAATCTATTAAATAAATGGATATGAAACAAAAGTACAAAGCTATTTAAAAATAGTTTGTAAGAAATCATAATCCTGAACATTTTCTAAAATAAAATTCATTGCCTTTCTATAACAGATTTTACTTGATATGATGTTGCAAACTGGAGTATGCTGTGGCTTAATATAAATTCTATAATATAATTGACGTTTTATGATTTAGATAACCATCTCTCTTGTTCGAAGTCTTTCAAGACTTAAATGGGTCATTATATTAGATATACAGAGAGAAACAATGTAGAAGACAAGGTAAGAAAAAATAATACTAAACTAAATATTACAGCTTAGAGAAAAATATAGTAAACCTAACACTAAAACTGTGATTTTGTTCTACGAAACAATTGAGGATTTACACGTCAAGTGGCAATTTGCAACGGTTTATACTGCAAAGGCAGCAAACAGTTACTAAAGCTGTTTGTTTGTTGTTCATAACTAAAACGAAATGTAGAAAACGCAATAGTACAACACAGTAATAACAAACCTAACAGAGCAACAGTCTCTTTTATATTTTTTTCTAAAACGGAAGGAAACTCCCAACATGAAGGTTTAGAATGTATAAGTAGACATTTTAACGTAAACCACCATATTTACAACAAAGTGGATTATAATGATGACACTCCCTTTTTTCTTCGTAAACAGTTTTTATGAATACGTATACTATGTATGTTGGTTTGTATATATTTCAGGTCACAGACATGGACTTATTCCCACAAAAACACTTGTATAGCAGTTAAAAGTGCGAAATACTGGTTAGAAATATCTTGGAAAAGAAACAATTTAATAATAAAAATTTACAAAATGATAATAACAACAATAAGATGTACATTTTAAATAGGTAGTATTTTAATTCACAGAAATGTTTTTGTAAGGGATTTTATAAACAGGTTTTTCAAATACGTAATATAACCTCATTTGAATACAATTATTGAAAGTTTATTTAAGAAAAAATAAAATAATAGAAAGTTTTAACAATGATTATTATAATTGGAAAAATAATTGTTTCCTTCCGTTATTTAATTCAATTATGTTTACTAATTTACAATAATGTTTACATTTTTCCAAAAAATACTTTAACATAGAACTAAAACTAGAACTAAAAATCACTAGAACAGCACTTTAACAGAATTAGAATGAACTATAGCAGAACTATAGCAGCACTAGTGCAGAAGTACAACTGAACTAGAACAGAACTAAAGAGAACTAGAACAGAACTAGAACAGAACTAGAACAGAACAAGAACAGAACTAGAACAGAACTAGAACAGAACTAGAACAGAACTAAAACAGAACTAGAACAGAACTAGAACAGAACTAGAACAGAACTAGAACAGAACTAAAACAGAACTAGAACAGAACTAAAACAGAACTAGAACAGAACTAGAACAGAACTAGAACAGAACTAGAACAGAACTAGAACAGAACTAGAACAGAACTAGAACAGAACAGAACTAGAACAGAACTAGAACAGAACTAGAACGGAACTAGAACAGAACTAGAACAGAACTAGAACAGAACTAGAACAGAACTAGAACAGAACTAGAACAGAACTAGAACAGAACTAGAACAGAACTAGAACAGAACTAGAACAGAACTAGAACAGAACTAGAACAGAACTAGAACAGAACTAGAACAGAACTAGAACAGAACTAGAACAGAACTAGAACAGAACTAGAACAGAACTAGAACAGAACTAGAACAGAACTAGAACAGAACTAGAACAGAACTAGAACAGAACTAGAACAGAACTAGAACAGAAATAGAACAGAACTAGAACAGAACTAGAACAGAACTAGAACAGAACTAGAACAGAACTAGAACACAACTAGAACACAACTAGAACACAACTAGAACACAACTAGAAAACAACTAGAACACAACTAGAACACAACTAGAAGAGAACTATAACATAACTAGTAGAGAACTAGAACAGAACTATAACATAACTAGAACACAACTAGAACACAACTTGAACAGAACTGAGTTAGACCAAAATTCGAGCCTTGCTGGAAATCCTTCCATAGATTGCGAAAAATAAATGTTATTTCTATTAACAAAAACAAATTAAGTTTTTTATTGAATTCCCAAACAGTAAATGCTAAAATTTTCTTATCTATTTATTTCTTAATGCTTATTTACCAATTATAACCTCAAATTAAAATTCCTTGAACAATATTAGTCACTATTTAATTTTTACTTTCTCTTCTTATGCGTTCTAACTAATTTGACACCCTTGCCTTTCATTGAATTAGTTTCACACACACAAAATTGGTTCAAGTACACCATAGCACATTTGCTTAAATTTAAATTAAACATTTTCTCATTACAATTAAATTAGTTTACACTACTCAAGGCCATTAATGATACATATTACGGAAAGTTTAGCATGGTTATTAAAAAAAAAAAAACAGCAACTGTATAACAATTTGTCCGAAAAATCCTTTTTATTTTGTGTTCTTTTGTTAAAACAAAATTCTAAACCACTATTACAGCGAATGTGTTTTTTTTGTGGGGTTTTTCTCATTTTTTCTCCTTTTTTTGTTTTCAATGCCCTGCGGCATAATCCTTTCTATTACTCCAAAGCCCTCTTTAATTATTATGGCCAAAATGATTGCTTTAAGCCACAAAAAGTAATAAATTTAGAGAGCGGAGGACAGAGTGAGGGAAACAAGACTGCTAAACACAGGAACCTAGACATACACTCACACGGAGGCTACAGAAAAGAGGAAAAAATAAACTAACCAAGCAGCATCACAACAGAAAGAGAGAGGAAGAGAAAAAATCTTGAATGAACCATAAAGTAAAATCCTAACAAGAATCCACTAAACAAATTGTCAACATGAACGAAAATTTGATGTTGCAAACGAAAACACATGCATACACAAACATGTATTTTTTGGAGAAAAACACAGAGGAAAAAAATTAAAAGGGACCAAGAACAACATGAGGTAAATGTGAACATAAACTATACAGAAACCCTCTATATACTATAACGAGAAAGCCAGACCAACACAATATAAAAGCAGTTAGGAAAACTTTAACTTTATTTATGTTTGATGCTTTCCAATGTTAATGCTTCCTTCTACTCCTCTCTTGGTTATAGTTGGGTTATGCAGCTGTGTGAAACAGACGAATAAGGATTCTTAAGTGGACGTTAAAAACCACGTAAATATAGTTTACAACCAAAACTACTAAACACAGCACAAAGCCATACATATTTTAGCTTTGTTGCAGTTAGTAAACCTTATTCAAAAAAAATCTAAAAATTCTTCCTTTAGTAGAAGTTTGTGTGAATGTGTGCAGTTGTGCAGCAAGAGTTTAACTAAAGGACACTTATACATTTTACAACATTTTATACTTTGGCGTTAAATGTGTTGATAGTAGTAGTGGTGGGTGAGGTTGTTCTTGTTGCAGGTTGCTTTGATTATGTTGTGTTGTTCTAAAAATGTATATTTTATATTTAGTAGCTTGTTTGTTGCATACAACTACATGATTTTCCTTAGTTTTCATTCTTTTATTTTGAACTTTTTTTGGTTTGGTAGAATTTTTATAATTTTTTTTTTTTCAACAAAAGAGACGAGAGACCAGTTGAGTTGTGCTGAGCTGAAGTGAGCAAGTGAAAAATCAATTTCCTTTTAAAATTTATTACATTTACGATTATGAAAGCATTAACAATAAACTGTTGCCCCAAAAGACATGTTAAATCGAGGGGGTAAAGGGGTAAAAGTATATAAGGATGTACAGACGGTCAGGACGGAATATATGATACCCCACACCAATATGAAGTAAGTTTTCGGATGTTGGATCGAATCTTCTATAAATTATGGATGATTTTTGTACAAAATAAAGAACTACTTATATCGATACCGAACTACTTATATATGGCGTGGGATTATGACTATAAATAATGCTGCATGTATAAGAGTTACTTGGTTTCCGGAAAATAGGTTCTATACAAATACAGTCTGATTTAATAAACAAGTATAATCGTTCATGGCCGACCATATGAAATCCTACACCAGTGATTATGTTAAAAATGTAGATTATTTTTTAATAAAGCATTTAATTAAATTTTTACCTTAATTCATAAATATTTTAACAATTTGTTGACAAAAAAAAGGGATTTTCTAAAAGTGGGGCTACATGGGGTTAATGGGTTAATATCCTTATACTTCTAAATTTTTCAAGAGGGATTTACGACTACATTAAAGTTATTTATGCAAAATTTCATTTTGATATTACTGTGTACATTTTCTAAGGGGACTTTTTATGGGGGCTAGGGTCAGATGAGACCCGATCATTACGAATATTGGCGGTATCATTTAGATTTTTATAAAACCGATTTTTGGAGAGATACAAGAATATTTTACATATTTATGAGCTTAAAAGATACCGCACCTGCTACCCGGTTATATGGAGCTAGGCGAAATAATGGACCGTTTATAACCATTTTCAATAGACTTCGTCCTTGGGTTAAAAAATAAGACTATATGCCAAGATTTACATGGATGTACAGGCGGACAGACAGACGGACATAGCTAATTCGACTTAGAAAGCCTGGGCTACCCAGTTTTATGGGAGCTAGGCGAAATACGGGACCGATTATTACCATTTTCAATAGGTTTCGTCCTTGGGTCAAAAGAAGACTATGTGCCAAGATTTACATGGATATACAGACGGACAGACAGACAGACGGACATAGCTAAATCGGCTTAGAAAGTGAATCTGAGCCGATTGGTATACTTTAAAGTGTAAGACAAATACCAGCCAAACATCAACTTTAAAATTTTCTTGAAAAAATTTCACTTCAATTTATAATAATTTTAACGCATGAGAATTCTTAACCAACTGCAAAGCAGTAAATTAAATATATTCCTGGGCAAACAAAAAACCTATAAAAATACTTAAAACACATATTTACCTGTAGAGTGGAATTCCTGTTGTATCTTTGAACCATAACAGTAGTTTTACAGAATCCTGCGGTGAAGGTGGTGTAAGATCGCAAGGTAAATCCACACTTTTGCCTACTGCTGCCCACACCAGACGTGCAGGAACTATAAAGATGAAAAAATATGGAAAAAACATACATTAAAAATAAAATCAAAAATAAATACGAAATGAAATGTTAATAAATGCTCCAGCTTATAAGAGAAACGCACACAAACAAACACATACAATACCGACAGAATAAAGAAGAGAAAAAGAAAATATAATATAAAATCAAGGATATTAGTTTGATTTCATTATTGATTTAAAATAATGTCTATAAATATATGTATGTATATATAAAAGAAAAAACACACATACACAGAGACAGTGTTATACTGTGGATGCTAGGAAAACAAACTGATTATATTCAGGCATAAAATAAAATCATGTACCAACATCATCCTTCCGCCAACTTAATAATGCAGCTCGCACTCACACAGCTCTGTACTGTGTTGGCTCTTAAAAGTCACGTTAAAAGTCTTAAATTCAATTCAATTTAAAATAAATGAAAAAGAAAAAAAATATTCCATCTTAACAATTGCTTCTGTAATGTTTATGATGTACTTTTCTATGGTTTCCTTTTTAATTTCTCAGTCTTTCTTTTTTGATCTGTTTTATGCTGGGAAATTAAAAGAAAAATATATACAACTGAATATATGTATGTATCGTAATAAAAAAGGACATTATGGCTTCAATGGTTTGCTGGTTGTTTGGTATTTTTACTGTTTATTTTGTAAAAAAGGAGTGTAATACAGAGAATATTGTCCGGGTGCTGTTAAAGGAAGTAGTGTGGGTGTGTATTTGAGTGAATGCGATTGTATGATTATAAATATGTCTGCATGTTTATTTGTTTGATTTGTAAGCAACACAATTTCCTTTATTGTTGTTTTTTTCTTATAATTTATTTTCTGTTTTCTATTTTCCTTTTCTCGCACAATATAAGTATAAATAATATTTTTTATACGATTTTTTTTCTTAAGAAAACATAAACTGACTGTTGCGCTTTTTTCATGACTTCCGTTGTCGGTTGTTATAGATGTTAACACATACACATTCATGTCACTAAACATAATGTGGTACATGTAGGAAAAGTATTTATAGATACTTAACCTTGTTGAGTTCAGCTCAATATTTTATAAATTTTAATCTTTATTTTTTCTAAAGTGTTAATAAATAAAACCAAATAATAATCATATTTTTAGAAAACACACAATTTTATATAGATTTCTGAGAGAAACTCTGCATGACGTCTAGGATAATATATGGCCTGATCACTAGGAAGACCGACAGTATCATTTTGTAGAGATATACTAGGTCGTTTTGTATAATTTACAAATACATATGTACACAGAGGGAAAATGAAATATACACGCCTGGTACCAAATTGGCATCAAAGAGTTTATAATTTGATAACGCAACGTTTTCAACATTGCAACAACTCGTTGTCGAAATCTAAATTTTATACACATCCGTTGTCTAAATGTTAACAAATGTGGTAAGCTCACTATTGGCAACGGATTGTTTGAGCTTACCATGTTTGTTAACATTTAGACAACGGATGTGTATAAAATTAAGATTTCGACAACGAATTGTTGCATTAAATAGTGTTGTCGTACGTATGTATATACTTTGACAATGGATAGTATTGAAAAATTATAAACAGTTTGGTGTCAATTTGGTAACACGCGTGTATATTTCTTTTTCCCTCTGTGTACATAACACCATCCTTGCTTTGGTGTTGTTAAGTTTTAATATTGTGTGTATTTTAAATAAGTCTTTGCCTTGAAAAATTTATTTTCTTTCTCCTAGTTGCTAGGTAGCTACTTAACTTGTTCTTTTTTGGTTTTTTTCTATAACTTTATAACCTTCTTTTCTGCTAGTTCCTGAAGCTGTTTTTAGCAATCGGATGTTTAATATTTTTTCCGACTCAAGTTTGTTTAAAACAATTATGTCTGTTTTTATTACATTTCCATAATAAATAAGGAAACATTTGACATCATAATTTAATTTTAGAAACACGAAACACTTTTAAATACATATTTAAAAATAACACTTTTCTATGTCTGAAAATGAAATGATTAAAAGTATGCTACTAATTATAGCAAACAGACTTATTAGTGTTTTAAGCCAATCTAAGAATACTCTTGAAATAAATACAATAAATACCTTTAAATACCTTATTCTAAATAAACATAATAATTTAATGCTCCTACAAGTTATATTGCACTAATTATATCTTATTTAATATCTCGCACTTAAAAACAATACCATAAAAAACAGACACAGCTTCTAAATCAATAAATTTAAACAATCTCAACAACTGTCTTTTACCACTGAAAATTAAATAGAAATAGAAAAACAACAAAAAAGTAAAATAATATAAATTGTTCTAAACATTTGCATTTGCCAAGCTGAGAGAGTTACTGGTTAAAGCTTTATTTAATTTGCTAATTGAGTTTGGGTTTAAATGCATTTTCTCTAAAAGGCAAATAAAAATCAAAGAACCTAGCAACCACTACAACTACTCCCAACCACCATTTCTAATACATTCAAATGTTAGCATTTGAAGATTTAACATTAAATTAAACATGTCCTTGGTATAAACTACAACTATGATATTTTTAGTTTTTTCCTCATTTCTCATTTTAAAAGGTTGTAACTTTATTTAAATATTCTATGTATGAAGAATTATATTTCTATAACATTGTGTTGTTTTTCGGTTCCAACTGTCTCTTCTCTATAAATCCTGGCAGTATTTGTTGTTTTTTTTCTTCATTACACTAATGAAGCAACAGTCAGTTGTTTTTATTCCTTTCTGTATATTGTTGTTATTTGCAACAATCTGGAAACGACTACAATTCAACATAAAGATGAAAATGTTTTGAACTGCAAATGAAAATATATATATTTTTTCAGAAAGTGCTACTTTATTTTAGTTACTGTAAAGGAATGAAAAGTAATTGTGTGAAGTGTGTACGTTGGTATTAGACCTTGAAACTTGAGTTAAAAATATGTGCATATGTATAGGTATATGTAAATAGAATGACTCAACATGAACTAGAACTGAACTAGAACTGAACTAGAACTGAACTAGAACTGAACTAGAACTGAACTAGAATTGAACTGAACTAGAACTGAACTGAACTAAACTAGAACTGAACTAGAACTGAACTAGAACTGAACTAGAACTGAACTAGAACTGAACTAGAACTGAACTAGAACTGAACTAGAACTGAACTAGAACTGAACTAGAACTGAACTAGAACTGAACTAGAACTGAACTAGAACTGAACTAGAACTGAACTAGAACTGAACTAGAACTGAACTAGAACTGAACTAGAACTGAACTAGAACTGAACTAGAACTGAACTAGAACTGAACTAGAACTGAACTAGAACTGAACTAGAACTGAACTAGAACTGAACTAGAACTGAACTAGAACTGAACTAGAACTGAACTAGAACTGAACTAGAACTGAACTAGAACTGAACTAGAACTGAACTAGAACTGAACTAGAACTGAACTAGAACTGAACTAGAACTGAACTAGAACTGAACTGAACTAGAACTGAACTAGAACTGAACTAGAACTGAACTAGAACTGAACTAGAACTGAACTAGAACTGAACTAGAACTGAACTAGAACTGAACTAGAACTGAACTAGAACTAGAACTGAACTAGAACTGAACTAGAACTGAACTAGAACTGAACTAGAACTGAACTAGAACTAGAACTAGAACTGAACTAGAACTGAACTAGAACTGAACTAGAACTGAACTAGAACTGAACTAGAACTGAACTAGAACTGAACTAGAACTGAACTAGAACTGAACTAGAACTGAATTAGAACTGAACTAGAACTGAACTAGAACTGAACTAGAACTGAACTAGAACTGAACTAGAACTGAACTAGAACTGAACTAGAACTGAACTAGAACTGAACTAGAACTGAACTAGAACTGAACTAGAACTGAACTAGAACTGAACTAGAACTGAACTAGAACTGAACTAGAACTGAACTAGAACTGAACTAGAACTAGAACTGAACTAGAACTGAACTAGAACTGAACTAGAACTGAACTAGAACTGAACTAGAACTGAAGTAGAGCTGAACTATATATTATAAACAGAATTCACTTCGTTTCCAATATCATAAAATAACAAACTTTTTTTAAAATATCACCTCTCATACCTTATTAATTTTCCTGCTATAAAAAAAATAACTAAACTCGTTTAGATTTGAAATGCATATGTACTACTTTCTTCTTTCCCAGCCACATTTTAAATTCTTTACTTTATTATGCCAAACGTGTCGACGACCATTAGTTAATAAATTAAGAGACTTAAATCCTACATATAAAACTACAGTTTGAAAACAACCATTAACTCAACAATACACAGGGAGAGCGAGAACGTGAGGGCTGATTAAACTCAAAAGAAGAAGATGATGGTAAAACTAAAAATCCTTTTTGGCAAATGATAAATAGACAAATAATTTGTCTACTAAAGTACTGATAGTTTAAGTTTAAGTGTTGGAGTGCAAAATAAAAAAGTATATAAAATCCAAGTCATAAAAGTTATTCACACCTAATCCTTACAAATGTGTTGCAATTGTCGTTTACTTTCATCGCTTTTCCATTTCCTGCTCCCTCGAATGTTTCATGGCTCCTTTTTTAAATCTAGCTCTCTCTCCCTCATTCTCTTCAAAACTATTATAAGCAAAACATATGGTAGTCTGTAGAAATGTTGTTGTTTGGAAGTAGTTTTTATTTTTCATGCATTCATTTTTTCTCTCTTTAAATAAGTTGTAACTATTTAAGTGTGTTTGTATTTGTTTTTGTTGGTTGGTTAGTTGGCATGTTTTTCTTGCTTGCACCTAAAGTATGCAATTTGTTTTTATTTGTTTAAAGGATTTATAAGGATTCTCTTTCTCCGTTTATTCTTTCTATACCCTTCACCATGGTGTTAAAAAAAATTTATTCAAAATAACACTTTTACCTGTTTATAGAAATAAATAACTGTTCTTGCTTTCATTAGCTTAGTGAAAAAATACTAGGTTTTAACA